AAACCATAGCCTCGGCTTTGCTTAGTATTGGGATCTTTTTTTATCTAGAATAGAAGACATAGCAAATGGGAAAAATTTACCTGTGCCATGACTATATCTCCGTAGCGAGAAAAGTATTTCTTTAAGGCTTCTTCATCTGTACGCCAGGCCAGACTGAGAACAATGAGATCAGTAGTCTTTTTGCCTTCAAGACGTTTAGACTTAGCATTGAAACGTTCCTCCTCATCGCTCTTCCTTTTATTATCTATATAGTTAACAAAAATGATAGAATTCCGTACCTTTGGGAAACACACAGCAAAACTCATACGACTCCCAACCACCCATAGGAGGATAAAGACGGCCATCTGCAAGCCGAACGCCGCGCAAGCAGTCACTATCCTGAGCCTTGTATTTAAGGCCAGTTGCCTTGAGGAATTGAGCTGTTAGAGTAGTCAACAAGACAGTATCATCAGTTTCTACGGGCAGCTCAATTAATTCTTCACCGAAGTCTTCGCAGACGCGTATGTACCTGAGGTCACCCATATCCATTTTGGAAGAAAATGGCAGTCAGGATTGCCCATTAAGAAAATAAAACAATTAAATCAAAACCAATGTAATCTAAATACATTTATCATAATTAATTAAAATATAACCGTATATATTTGATTAATTTTAATTATTTTTAAAAAGTATTTTGAAATATGTTTTAATAAAATTTATTCTTTTTTTACATATTTTTTACCGCTATTTATCACCGTACCTACATAAACTGCAACAATGGCGTGTGTACAGTACACTAGGGTCACGGAAGAGGATTCCGATAACCCTATTGAATTGCCAATTGAATCTGATGGCACAGTTCTGTTGTCTACACTCACTGGGGTCTTTCCTAGAGCCACTGGTCTTAAGTATTATGCGGAGGAATCTGGGTGCCTCCGAGGCCTTCGTTCAAGTGAGGATCGCCTCTATCCTCCTCCTGAAGGTACATGGGACAGCTATGTCTTTATTTGCGCCTTTCCGAAAGGTACCTTTTTTGTTTTTACCGTGTTCTAGATAAAAAGAGGAAAGTAGATGACGAAGGAGATTCCTTGTCGGTTAAGACTAAAAAATTAGAGGGGAGAAAGACTACCGACCTAATAGTTCTGAATCTTGCCTGGAGGACAGACGAGACCGATCTGCGAAATTACTTTTCAAAGTATGGGGATGTAGTGATGGTTCAAGTCAAAAGACACTCTAATTCTCTGCAAAGCAAAGGATATGGCTTCATTCGCTTCAATGACTATGCATCTCAGGTTCTTTGCCTTGCTGAGCGCCATTACATTGACGGGCGCTGGTGCGATGTCCGCATTCCTATGTCTAAAGCAGAGGGTGATCGACAGGAAGTCAGTCGTAAAGTTCATATCGGAGGTATCACGGAAAACATGTCGGCCGAAGTGCTAAGAGACCACTTTTCTGCTTTTGGAAGAGTCTCAGACGTTTTTGTCCCTAAGCCATTCAGATCATTCGCTTTTGTTACCTTTGAGGATCAAGATGTAGCAGTGAGTCTTTTAGGCAAAGAGCAAGCCATCGACGGGACAACCGTCTCCATCGGTTCCGCAGTTCCTAAACTTCCTCCTTCCGCATCCCGTCAAGCGCAGGGCTTCCAGGCAGCTATGCAAGCTGCCATGCAACAAGCCTCATGGGGTAAGGTTGCGTTTTTCATTTATTTTTAAAGATTTTGCGGGTTGGCCTTATTCCGCTGCGAATGGTGGCGGGATGAGGGTATTTGGCGGTGGTATGGGTGGACGGGGTGGAAACAACCCTATGCCTGCAATGAGCATGCTAGCTCAGAACCAGGCAACTGCCGCTGCTGCTGCGCTTGCTGCTCAGTATACAAGGGCTCATCAGGTCGGTGGGAGAATGAACATGTAACAATGGTGAGTTCTCTTAACTCTTCGCCTTGATTTAGTCGTCTTACAAGTACATTCGGTTTACTTGATCTCTGAATACTTTCCGGTTGTTTGTTTTAGAGCGTTTGTCTGTGTCGAATGGGCGTCGTCACCTAGAACTGCGTGCGTCTGTTGGAAAATTAGCGACTGCTGCTAGCTGACTGACTGATCTGCGCGACTGCTTCTGAATGGCGGATTGAAGCCGTTTGAATCCTACGCTAAAGGATGCACATTTAGCATATTCTCCCATCCTGTCTGTTGTTATTACTCATCGCCACTTTCATTTAACTTTTCACGCCTTTGTTTATGTACCTTATTCGTTCTTTGTTGAGACGTGATCTCTTCCATTGCCTTTTATCGGCTGTTTGTGATTGTCTGATTTTCAGTAAAGATTTGCGCATTCGTCATGTCTTCATTCGGCAAAGGCAGGGAAAGCCCCTTGGTGTCGCGGTTTGAGTCACCAGCCGTACTGTGACTTCATTTAGTTCTACCTTAGGAAGTTCTAGTTCTCATGTTCTCCATTGGTAGGCTAAAGCGCAGGTGAGCTGGTCAATCCTTTCAATGATTGCTACAAGTGAGGTATATAGACTTTTAAAGGTGAGTTGCATCTCAGTTGCCTTGAATTGACAACTGCGTTATACATGTCCAAATGTGTTCCTGATAATTTTTTATCTTTCTTTATATATTAGTTATTAAGGCCCTCCTCGCCGTGGTTTTTCGGATTTCCATGAGCTGATTATCTTCTTAAATTGTATACTTTTTGAAATAAATATACTTTACTTGTCCGTAGTCTTATTTGATTCCAAACACACCTTTCTCACTTCACTTATATGCTAATGTGTCAGTCCTAACGCGTCTCCTTCCGCCCCTCCCCAATGATCTAGCTCTATACTCGTTTAGACTGCCTTTCGTATTCAGCTTCAAGTCCTGTTGCTGTCCATCTTCTTGATGGCCCCAGCCATTTGATTTAAAAAATGATCATATGAAAAAGGGGCTTACTTGAGCCCATGGCAGTCAATATTAGGATATTCTAACATCGTAGTTTGTCTTAGTTGGTAGTATGCGGGAATGTTTTGCCACGATCTACTTCACTATGTCCGACACTGGCTCTCTTCCTTAAATCTCTTATGAATCATGACCAAGGTTTCTTATCCATTTCTCCTAGATGAGGAATCTCTGCCATATCTAAAATGTC